GGTGTGTACTACATCAATCTTGATGCTCACAGTACAATGAGGACCTCAAAGTTTGTGCCCCAGTAAGGAGTCTCCAAGTTGGGCGCTCCAGATGTGAACCACTTGGTCACTATCCGGTTCTGCAAATCTCAGCCTTCGCCTTTTCTTCCGAGTATTGCTCAACAGAGGAATGTGGTAATAAAGCATTGTAGGTAAGAATGCAGGCTCGCATATGACCTGAGATCAACACCCTGAACAATGGATAGAGGGTAGTGTTTTCAGGGCCACCTAAATGACTTGGGATTTATAGCTCCTTTTTCCAAAATGACTTGAGAATTTTAGCCCTGACATGGGCTTCAGATAGAAGCTTGGACATCCTTCAGGATCTGGGCCTTAGGAGCCTTAAGTTAATTTGAAAGCCAGTGAAATGTATACTCTCAAGCACCCATGTCACTTGGGTTATTCTGAAAATGATACCCTATATACATATGGGTAGGTAAGGGGCAGACTTTCACAGGCACAAGTGGCAGTTAGACATGTAACTCCCATTGATTTTTTTCCCCCTCGGGGACCTGGAAAACTCCCCCCGAGGAGTTGAATCCTCCTCTTGCATTATTTTCACACCAGATTAACACCACTGCTTCCAGTGGAGTGACTCCTGAGTTACCCCAGTGTGAGCGAGAGGAGAACCAGTCCTGAGGTGCTCTAAATATCCAGTGAAAGTGCTAATGTGGCAATGCGGAAAAGTGGGGAATCTAGCACAGGCCTGGAATAAGACTCCGCCACCGCCACCCCAGTCATTGAGCTCAAGTGGTCACCGAACAGACTCTTGGCCAAGAGGGCCCAAAAGAGCCTCCCCTCCACCTCTGCAAACCACAGCCTCACTGCTTCCCTCCAAAGACACCTATGACAAACACCAGACCTTTGGTACAAAAAGCCTCATGTGCTACAATGTGCCATTTGGAGAGCACCGAAAAAAAACGAACTACCTCATTTCATGTTTTTCTTCCTTCCTTTCTTCCTTAATTATAGTCAATTCTTCCATCTACAGCAACATGCTCCCCTAGAGACAGTGCTTATGTAGTCACCTTACATGAGTTCCTTCCAGCTGAGGCCGCTCACGGGGCTGTGTTAGGGTTTGGTGCTGGAAAACACAGGGTCTGGAGGTGTCCCAACAGGATACACTTCCCTCCCTTTGGAGAGTGGCTCACAGAGGATCTTCTTGGCTGATGCAATGCTTCCAGGTGTTGTGGTTTTTTATATGCTATCAATGCATCAAGTCCATGGATGCCGTAAGCATTGCAAAGCAGACCAAATTCAAGCAAATGATTCATTGCACTGATGGGGGGGCTGTTAACTTTGGATTTTTTATGGTTTTCCAAGGCCTAATCTAGATGAGGTGAAATGTCAAGAGCCGGCCTACAGCTGTTAGGAGCATTCAGTACAGATGTGGATCACTAGCACATCTCACTGCAGAGGCACCAAGAAGTCCCTCCTGGACTCAGCTCTGCGCATGAGGCCAGGCACCATTCTCCCTGCAGGAGTCACCTTGTCATCCCCTTCCCTCTCCAGACACAAAGCAACAACCACAGACACCTTCAGGCAGGATATATACTCTTCAGGGAAAGAGAAAGAGATACACGTCTGTTGTTGCATTAGGAGCAGTAGAAAAGCTCCAGCCACTCTGCTGGATACTCCTCACTCCCCTCTTCACTTCTGTGACCTCCTGTCTTTTGTGCTGCTCTCAGCTCACATGATGCCCTGCTAGAAAATTCATTCCCCCAAAACCCCTGTTTTTCTTCCAGTTTCCATCCTGTGCTACATCCTTTGAACTGCTTCCTTTCAGCCTTTAAAGTCTGACTGAAGAGGCAACACAAGGAAATCCAAATGCTTTTCTCTGCTCTCTTCCTGTACCCTGCAGACAGCCCAACTTCCTATACAAATCTTGTGTACTACACATGGAACCACCTCGTGCTCAAGGCAGGGTTTGTCTGTGTGCTCTCTCTCACGCTCCCTTTGCCCTGACTCTCTGGCAGGATCAGGACACGGTACAATAAGAAAGATAGGGGGGTGCTTGGTTACAGCCAGTAAATTTTAAACTGGAACCAAGGGAGAGGAATTAGTATTCAAATTTTTTTAGGTTTGCAGTTGGTAACCACATACCCCGTTCTCTTCGTGGGGGGGAAAAGGAAACACAAAACCCAACCCTTTGTTCTCTAAGCAACATGGCAAAGTATGTTCTTATAAACGGTGGCAAAACACACGCGATGCCCCAGCCATCAGCCAAGGGGGAAGCAACATGCAAAATGCAAAGATAAAACATCCCCAAGGGAGAGCAAATGTTTCTGTTTATCAAGGAGGGAGGAAGGTCTATGTCCAGGAAGACATAAGAGGTTGTTTTCTTTTCCTGATAAAGTGAAAAATTCTAATAATAAAATGGAGTTAAGAGGGAAAGTTTGGGGTTTGAAGTCAGAAGAGCAGGGATACCAAGCGGTCCTTGCAGACACGCAACCCGAAAGTAAACCCTTCTAAATGGCCATGACAGGAGATGAGGTCAAATAAAAGCCATGCTTTCTCCTTCCTGCCTCCTCCTGAACACTTCTCCCACACTCCTGAGAGCTGAACCTCGCTCCTCTCCATGCAGCGCTAGAGTCACAGAGCGTCTGCAGCGTCCTGGCCGGGCACCCAGCGTGCCATGAACAGCAAACATACTCTGCCCCTCTCCTGGTGCGCCCCGTGCCCATCAGAGCGCTCTCCCTCCCATACCCCATCCGCAGGCTTGTGAGACCTGGCATACGGTCCAAGCAGTGCCTGATGTCCGCGCTACATTTGCTGAGTTGAGGTCAGGCTGGAAGGTGTCTCAGGGTTTAGTACCCATCATGACATGGGAATATTAGCATATATATTGTTTATGAAGTATGACACAATACCTATCTGTCAGTCAGCCCATCTTTCTACCTATTGAGTCTGTCTAATCTACTTCAGCTAGCTACGTTTCACTATCGCTATCAATCACCTATTGCTCCATGTTACCTAATTTCTTCCTGTCTCTCTCTTACCTTTTTCACTCTAGCCTTTCTTACTCTAGCTATACTCCCCTCTCTCTCCCTATCATCCATCTATCCACTCTAAAGTCTTTTTTTCCCTTCCTCTCTCTAATCCCTGTTTTAAAAAATCTCTGTCCAATCTCTCTCCCACTCTCTCTTTCCCTCTCTTTTTTCAATCCTCCCACTCTCTCTCTCTCATATTTCTACACAAGGTCAGGAAGCGCATGGAAATGAATCCCTACACATTTTGATGGCACATCCAGTTCAAAGGGATTCACTCTGAGGAGACACAGTTCATCTTTTCTCCCAATTTCCAACAAAGAGATGGAGGAGAACAAAGGAAGCGGGAATTAGCAAGACTTTGGGGCTGTCAGCAGACTCATCTTTTGGTGCTACTGCTTTTAGGCCAATTTAATCCTGGTCCTGCCAACAGCACTGTTCGGCACTCCCAGCAGCCATTTGGCCTCTGGGCTGCCCGTCCTTCACGATGGAAGGCCAGGTCTGGTGGAAAGCTGGGGGCAATCCTGCATGCTGTGGGCAGTGGCCAGGAGGTATACACAGTGGTGCTCGGATGAAGAGCCCAGCTTCAGCTGTGCTTAGAGCAGGCTGCAGGAGGTGGTCATAAATGACAGCTGAAGCCTAGGCTGGGTGACTAAACCTAGGTTTTACCAGGCAGCAAGGGACAAAAATTTCTCCAAGTGCTTTTGGCTGCTTCTGACACCACCAGACCTTGCCATGACCACATGCCTATGCACTTATTGCACTGCCCCAGTACATTTTGCCAAACAGACCATCTTTGGAGAACAACGTCACATCAGTCAACAACTTCTTAATTTCCATCCCAGTGAGGCAAACTCCAGTGGGGACCTGGCCCTTCCTGGCTCTCAATGCATTTCTTGGCAGGGCTCAGAGTTTCAGCATGGACCAAAGCAGGTCCTTCAGATGGCACCCACGGGGCTGCCTGGGATCACTCCTCTGAGGTCACTGTGCTCCCCTAAAACAGGACTTAGAGGACTCCTGGAAGCGCACTTCTTTTGTTCTTTCCCAAGATCAATTTTGCTACTTTTCTTAAGCTAATGCCTCACTCAGAGCTGATGCCTCACTCAAAATCAAAGCCTGCTTCCCTTGAAAATCCCCTGAGTGATGCCAAGGAGGAGAGTGCTTGGCCACTGACCGATGGTAGAGCAGTGGCTGAAGAGCAGAGTGGGGCCACGCAGCAAGCAGGCCACCAAAGAGCAGTCTGCACAGAGGCCAGCAGGACGTACAGCAGCATAGAAATGCGACACGGTTATGTTAATGATCATTATTCTCATTTATTATAATTATTGTTCAGTTTGAAAAAGGAGCCTGGAGCCAAGCATTATGCTAATTGGCACATTTTTTTTTGTTGTTGTTGCTGTTGTTCTAGTTCTGAAAAGAAAATGGGATTTAGTACTATTGTTTGTTCATTCGTTTTGTTAAGTTTGTTTGTTTTTCTTTCGTTCATTCCATCACATTGAAAAAGGAAGAAAAGGATTACTATTCTTTTTTTCCTGCTTTGCTTTTGTTTTAACTCACTCAGTAAGTCTGGACTCCTCGGATGAACGGAACATTGCACACACACACTTGGAGAAGAGAGAGAGGAGAGAGAGAGAGAGAGCGCTCGCGGTGGGCAGACAGACACACGCACGCGCCAGGTCAAAGAACTCTGATACAGTGCAAGAATTTTCCCAAAATGATTGGATCATCATTACCAAAAAACTCGCCATAACAACACCAAGAAACAAAGAAATGTTTAAGCCACACTGTTTGACTGGGATTTTTCCTGCTTTTTTTTTTTTTTTTTTTTTTTTTTTCTTCTTTAAATGTTTGCCACACAGAGAGAAAAAGGGTTTAAGTGGGAATGGGAGAGGGACGGACAGGCTCACAGACGTGAGCAGGAAGGGGGGAGATCAAGATCGGGGCAGGAAGGAAGGATAGAGGATAGGGGGAGGGAGGGAGGGGCAACGGGGAGTCATTTCTTAATGTTCAGGCATTTTCTTGGTCCGCCTTGCTCTCTTCTTCTTTCACCTCTTCCTGCTGGGCACTTTCAGTAGGTTTGGTTTCTTCTACAGCATCTAGTGGGAAAGAGATGATTCAGCATTAGTCAGCCACAATCTAGAGCATCCTGCACATGCATGCAGTCATGCACAAGAAAACTGCTGGGCTTTTGGCTTCTCTCTCCCAAAGGAGACCCAGGTCTCAAGGTTTCTAGCATTTCTGTGGCATGGGAAGAAGATGCCCAGGTTCAGCCTAGCAGATGGGTGCATGGCTCTCACATGAAATCTCCAGCCCTACCAGAAACCCGATGCAACTGGGAGGAGCTGCCTAGAGCCCTAAGCCCAGCCTCCTGCTGATGTGTCAGTCAACTCTCATTCATTTCACCACACGCACTGATGAAGCTCTTGGCTTGTAGGGTGAAACCAGCTAGATCCAATGTCTGAATTATCCTTTTATTACACCCACTGGCTGTGCCAATCACCATTGAATTTCTCAGCTCTAATTGCTGCTACTGAACTTCTCAGAAGCTTGGAAGAGGGAAAATAAAAATTGTAACCTGTAACTCAGATTCCTCTTACACCAAACAGAAATAACGAATGGGAGCCTTTGGACAGGAGGTTGTCTTTCTCTCCAGTTTTCTGGCCTCTCCTTCCAAAGGCAGAGCTGCATCGGGGGAAGCAGTGATAGCAAATGGAGGGTGGATCTGCAATCCCACAGTAAACAAACCATCAGGGAGGGGAAGACAGAGGCAGTCAGGAGGAACAAGACAGTGGTTCACCAAAGGGTTGCAGGATAATGCTAAGGTCTTAGTGCACTGGAGTGGTTGGTCTGCCAATTCTCGCCATTCCATGCTTACTACTCCTCAACCCACCTAAACATATGCACTGACACTGTGGAGAAGTCAAGCAAGGATCATCACTCCAGATTTATTATAAACAATAGAGAAAAGAAGTGCCAAAGGGCTGGTGGTGCAAGATGGGGTACAGGACTGATATGTCACATACTGCAGCACTGGTGCTCGATATACCTCTACATCATCTATGTATTTCTGGTGGGCTCAAGGGTACCGTTGAACAAACCACTTCCTGGCTTCTGAGATGGGCTATCATCTTGTGTTACAATGGCAAATAAAATAGGCCGGGGTTTGCTCTCTTGCCCTGAAGCTACATGGCACTACTCAACTCAGGTACATATGGCTAAATCCTTGCACTCCAGAACAAGAAAGGATGTGTCTGAGAGCTGTCTGGAGCAAAGCTAATTGGAATATTAAAAAACCACAGTATGGCCCACTTTTTGTCAGCTTAACATTACAGATGTTCACGTGACAATGTTTAGTTTGTGAAGGTAAGCATCCTCTCATCCATGTTTATCACTAGTCAGAATACTAAATGGGATGTGAACCATTCCTGACTGAGGCCGATGATGCATTTTTGCCTGGTCCATTCGATGCCATCAGATGGCAGACTTGTATTTGCTTCCAGCACTGGAAGCAGGTGCCGCAGCTCTCACACCCCTCTCTGCCTCAGCTCCTTAGCCTCTCTTTTTATGCCTTCCTATGCACCATTTCCACGTGCATCACCTTTAAGGTGTAACATCCCAACCTAAATCAACTTTATCAACTGCTCTGCTTTTGGAACTTAAAACACTTTCTGTCTTAATGAACTTCAGACATTGATTTTCCAGTAAGAAAAATTCTTCAAGAACATCCCCACCACCCAATACCATGGCCTGAGATCCTGCATTGCCAGCCAGCAAAAGCTTCTATGCACTTGCTTTCCCCTGATACTGAGCAACAAAATAGAGTGCTTCTTAAAGACCCTTTCTATATATAGTACAGGTACAACAATGAACCAAAGACAAAATAGACTACTGATAAAAATGGGATGTAAAAATGGATTGGATTGCAAAGCAGACTAATTTGCCTTAGTTTGGTTAATGTTTCCGAATGATTCAATCACACTCCCCATAGAGGGCAGGGAATCTCTTTTATCCTGCTCTTCTCCAAGGCATTCACAGCAGGGCACATGTTGAATTATGGAGCTGAGGACGTGCAAGGCCATCTACATCTCAGTGTAGGCCAAAACAGTATCATTTAGCCAGTAGCTTTGTTAGTCTAGATCCCAGTAAGACAAAAGGTCTGTTTTCCCATACGTAAATGCAAGATAAATGGAAGATCAGCAAAGGATCAGCAACTCAGCATAAGGAACACAATCCCAGCCACATTTCATATTTTAAACATGTGTTTAAAACTTTTTGCTTCTTCTTAGTGAAAATGCACACAGATTTCAGCCAAGAGTCCCCACAGCCTTCTCAAGACAGTGTAACAGAAGGGCACACAATGCAACAAGCACAGGGACAGACACTGGGAGGTCCTGAGTTCCTGCTGTCCATAGTGAGAGCCTTGCCCAAGCCATACAAACCATTATGTTGCAAAGATTCCCTCACTGCAGTTAAAACTGGGGTCCTGGTTCTACAGAAGTAGGATCATATAGCACTATAGGCTTTCGACAATTGTTCTAGTGATGTGAACAGGAATTCTGGTTGCATTCAAAATGGGGGAATGATGTGGGATTGCTCACGATACTGACCCTGCTGGCTCACCACAGTGGCAAATCTAATTTCCAGGGGACTGTCTGTGGCACCTATAGGGCCTTGGCTGGCAGAGGAATTTCCTTGCTGCACAGGGGCCTTGCTGTCTACCCTGTACTTCTCTGGAGGCAGTTGGCAGTAGGCAGACATTGCACTGACTTCTGCCATGCTGAAATAGCCTAGACTGACTCTAAGGTCAGGGAGCAGCAGAAAGACTATAAAGTCACTTCATTACATATTCAAGTCCTCTGCAGAACAGAAAGGAATCAGAAAAAAAACCAAACATATGCTGAACGCAATCTTGAGTCACTTTTCACCTTTTGTTAATGGCCCAAGTATAAATAAGAGCTGTATCTTTCTAACAAGAGCTATCAAGCCAAATTCATCTAGCCACTCTCCTTTTAATTGTACATGGTTTTGAAATGAGGGGAAATACCATACCCGCACGTGCACCCTGCTGCCACTAACCTACGTCTCACTTCCTAGCAGCTTTAGCACAGTTCCATTGATCTTTAAGACAAGGGAAAAGAAGCAACCTGGTGTTATTATTCAGTAATGAGTTTCAGCAAGAGGTAACATCACAAAGGATAAACAATTCAGCATAAAAAATGAAGTTCAAGCTGTGGCACTGCTAAATCACAGCAGTGAAAAGAAGAGGGTTCTCCCCGAGCAATGGGAGCATTGCAGCACAACCCTACTGACATCAGGGCCAGTTAATAGCAGTTTATGATTCACAAGGAGAGACGAAACGGTTTTGCCTGACTCACCCTTCACCGGTTTGTTTGATGCAGGTTATTTCTGCAGTATGTTCTCGGGGGTTTTCTCCAACCTAGTTTTCAGCGTCCCAGTAAAGTCTGCCAGGTATCCCTGGGGAGATTATTACAGACGTATCCTGGGGGATCTCATAGATCAGAGAGGAGCTTTCTTCCTCTCTCCCTGGATATCAGGCTTGATTTCCCACTGCCTTGAACTCTGGGCTGTTGCACATGTTGATTTGTAATGGACAGGTACAGTTACACAGCCAGACCTGTACAACCTTGATATTTCACATTCACTTTGCACTTTGTTGAACTAGGTGTAAAAGGTGACAAAAAAAAAGCAGGTGAGAATTCAGGGCATCGAGGTGAAATGTTCTGCACCCTGCTTGAGGAACAACAGCATGCCATCCCAAGTGGTAAAATTTCTACCTGTCTAAAGCTGCCCCTTCAGAACATGCAAGCATTGTGAGGTCTCAACCAGAAAGACCAGAGTGCCCGTGTCCACCCTCAGTGAAGAGAACAAACAAGTGGCACTGACTTATCCTTTAAGATGGGCCTGGACCAGGGCAGCAGAAAGATGCACTGGGAGACATCACAAAATAGGAATGTTGAAGTAAGAGAGGATAGAGAGGATAGGGACCCTATTCATCACCTGGCAGCCATGCACAGACATCATCAGCTGGTCTTCTCACCCTGCTCTCCCTTTCCAATTACTGAAGATAAACATGGCATTTTTGAGGCTATTAACTGAACCTCTAAGGGCTGCTTCAAAAGTAATGGCTCATATTTTATTACATTGGCCCATGACATCAGAGGATGTTGGTGGTTTGGCATGAGCCTGCATGCCACACTCATCAAGATCTGCACCAGCTAAGGTGCCCCGATGCTTTTTTTGCCACTGCTGAAGCACGACCCACTGCCTCGCTGTGCTCACATCCACTCTTTGGACTTCAGAAATGTTCAGACGTTGTCAGTGACTGACTGTCAGTAAGTACAAAAACCTTTTGGACAGCCTTGGACAAACCCTAGGCTGTGACCATGCAAGTGCTTCAAGGATAGGGCTGTTTGATGGGAGGGACTGAAGTGTGCTTGCTTCCCAGCTTAAGGGCTCTGTCTTGACAGTTGCCTCATACCTAGAGCTCGCACCTGACAGGGAATTTTAAATGCTTTGTCCATGGGAGAGAAATGATACATAAATAAACTACAGATCCTTGATGAAATAGGGTCTTTAGGGAGCTTCTGCCCCTCAGCACTCTATTTCCTGGAAATGATGAGAATCATATCCATAAGCTCTGCTGGTGAGCAAACATCTTGAACATGTGCAGCTCTGGATGCTGTGGAGCCGCAGCAAGCGTGCAGGCAACAGCATGGCTGGATGGTGGCACCTCCAGCTGCCTTTGCCTGTGCTGCACTCTAATGGTTGAGCATGCAGGCTTCTCTCCAAGTCTCCCCACTGCCCTACATTAGTGAAATTAGGTTGAGTGGATTTCCAGGTAAAATACTGTCTCTTGGGACCTGCCCAGCTCCCATCTGACTTGCCAAGATTAATTAAATCAGAGCAGACATCAGTTTATGACCAGAGTAGCAGTAACCTCTCTTCTGATCATTTCTTTTGTGGCTGGTGGCTTGGGTTTTGTTTTCCTTTTCTTTTCTGTTCCATCGTAGATCTTCAAATTACCACAGCTGATGCCAAAATAAAAGAAATTGCACAAACACTCTGGGACTCTACT